AGGAAAAAGGGGCTGCAGCAATTCCTGGAGGAAAAAAAAGGTTGTTTGAGCTAGGATTCAAGGTAAGGGTTTATTTGGGGAAAAATCTTTGAATGGCTGGGTGTTTAGTTGGGAGTTATTGATTGAATTATGTTGTGACTCTAGTTTGAGGAGGAGAAAGATTCAATTCAGCCCAGAATTGAAGAGGAATTGGATTTTGAGAAGAATTTAGTGAGTTAAATGTATACTTTGCTTATAATTTTGAGCAGTCCCTATTTTATCAAATTATGGGGTTTGTGTAAATGAATCTTGGAGGATGATTTATATATTTGAGGAATAGACATTTCATACTTTAAATGGAAACTTGAATCACCCTAAAAGGAGCTTTGTAGTTTAAGTTGTAAACTTTTGAATATAAAAAAAAACTGTCAAATGTACTTGCTGGACAGAATCTGTTCTTTCGGATTCTGGGGGTATTTGGTGAGGAACTTCAAAAGAAGGTTTACATAATTGATAACTAGTCATCGTAAGCTTCGTATAGCCGCTGGAATCACCTTAAACGGATAACCGTAGCCTAAGATGTACATTTTCGAAGTTAGGCTTAGTGGCTGGTTTTTCTGCAGAAAAGCCAGCAAAATTTGATCTGGTATATCATATCTTTGGAGACCTAAACGGACCCAAAACTAAGCTTGTGATACCTCTTTGGAAATCCCTAGATGTCTACCTCGCTTGGGTTCTGGTTTTGTAATTTTTAAGGCTACATAGAATACTTTGTGAATATTCTTGTAGCAATCGTAAAAGTGTCAATTCCAGAAATTAATAAAATAAAGAACTGAGGTACCTATTTTTTGAAATGGGAGTGCTGCACTTAAACCACCTTTGTCACCATTTAGAACAGGTTATTAGTGATGTGTGAGAGTTGAAATCACCTCATTTGGAGTTTTGTAGCTCAAGTTGTGCGCATAGGAAGTTTCATATAAAAACTTTCTAAAAACTGTCAAAAACAGAAAAAAAACAGAATTGTGATTTCGTGGAAACTATTTTTAAGGTACTTAGAGATGTCGGATTGAGACATATGATAATTCGTTGGAAAGATATACATATCTACTTTGGTTTGAAGTTAATTTTCGAATTTTTAAAGACAAAAAGAATATCTTATGAATTTTCTTCTAAAGATGAACGAATCAGTGAAATTCAAATTTCAGGGGAAAGTGATTATGAGTTAGGAACTGATTTATGGCTGAGCTATTGAGCTCTAATGATGGTGGCCAATTTGTCTATTTTGAACAGTGAAAAGGAAAAAAAACAAGGGAAACGAAGAGGGTTAAACTCAGATTTTGCTAAGCAACGCAGGTAAGTAGAGTTTGACTTTTCTGCAGCACTTACAAACTTTGTTTGATAGACTTTCTATGGAATGTCTAGGATGCCATGATATAAATTTTTATGACAGTGTCAATGTGTATGATTGTGAAGATTACTTGTAATTGAGTACATAACAGCATGCATGTTAGGCCGGTACTGCCAAGTCCTCAAATGACTTCTAATGTGATGTAGTGATTAATGAAATTGTGATTGAGCCGCGCAAGTCTCTCGAACCAAGTGGGTGATAACAGAGACTATATTGTGATATTGAGAGATTGTGATTTTGAATGCGCTGGCCATTCTCTCGAACCAGGTGGGTGATGACGGGGAACCTGATATTGTGATTTGAGATATTGGCATGTGGTCAGATTGTGAAAAAGCCGGCGGCAGTACCGGGAGGGCCCTAGTGATATGTAGTGCACGTGCATAAAGTGTAAGATTGATTGGCATAAGTTACCTATGATGTTGCAATGTGTGAGCATGTTAAAATAAGATTGTGTGATTGTAGCTCTACTTACTGAGCTTGTAGCTCATTAAAGTTTGCTCTGTGCTGTAGGTAAAGGTAAGAACAAAGCAGAACAGTAAGCAGGGGAGCTGGCTTCGTTGACCGTTGTACATATGGTTGAACCAAAGAAGCTGTACACATATTATTTTGGGTCTGTAAACATATATATTTTGGAGTTAGACTTATAAACCTTGGATGACTGTATAATTTTAATTGTAGCTAGGAAACTTGATAGGAATGGTGTATTAATGAAATTTTTTTAAGCAAAAAAAAAAAAAAAACTTGAAACACCATAGTTTTCACATAAGATCACAGGTGAAGGTTAGTGATTGTGGCACGTCCTAGGATTGTTAGCAAGGAACTAAAACATTTGAAGGAGATGGTATATAAGGGGTGTCACACCCTTAGAAATGCTAAAAACCCTAAAAAAACCATAAATAAACCGTAGAAACACTAAATAAACCCTAAAACACTTAAAACACAAAAAACCCAAAAAACCCTTAAAGAACCCTAAAAACCTAAAAACCCCCCAATAACCTTAAAAACTCATAAAAAACCCCTAAAGAATCGTAAAACCTGTAAAAAAAAAAAACCCTCAATAGCCGTAAAAAATCCTAAAACCTTAAATAACCCTAAGAAAACCCAAAAAACCTAAAAAAAAAAAACCCCCCAAAAAACCCTAAAAACATTAAAAAAAAAGCCTAAAAACCTGAAAAAACCCTAAAACCCGAAAAAATACTAAAAATCCTAAAAACCCCCAAAAACCCAAAAAAATATAAAAACCCTTAAACCCGGAAAAATTATAAAAAATCTAAAAACCCCCAAAAACCCAAAAAAATATAAAAACCCTTAAACCCGGAAAAATTATAAAAAATCTAAAAACCCCCAAAAACCCAAAAAAATATAAAAACCCTTAAAACCCATAAAATATAAAAAAAAAACCATAAAAAATCCTACAAAACCATAAAAACCCTAAAGAAAACCCCAAAAAACCATAAAAAACCCTAAAACCCGAAAAAATACTAAAAATCCTAAAAACCCCCAAAAACCCAAAAAACCCAAAAAAACCTAAAATAAACCCTAAAAACTCCAAACGCCCCCAAATAACCAATAAAATCCTAAAAAAAACTCCTAAAAACCACCCAAAACCCTAAATAAACCCGAAAAGCCCTAAAAATAATTAAAAATCCTAAAAAATACAAAATAAACCCTAAAAACCCTAAAAACTCTAAAATCCCTAGAAAACTCTCGTAAAGAACCCTAAAAAATACTAAAACCCCTAAAACTCCCAAAAACCCCTAAAAACCTTTGATAACCCTAAAAATCCTAAAAAATCCTAAAACCATAAAAACCCCTAAAAACCCTAAAAAACTAAAATAAGCGATAAATAAACCCTAAAAACCCTACGAAACGCGAAAAAACAAAAAAAAAACACTGAACACGGTAAAAAGGCCTAAAAACCCTAAAAACTCTAAAAACCTCTAACGAAACCCTAAATAAACCCAAAATAAACCCTAAACAAACCCTAGAAACCCTTAAAAACCATAAAAACTCCCTAAATAAATACTAAATCAACCATAAAAACCCCTAAAAACCCAAAAAAACCACAAATAAACAAACCCCTAAAAATGCTAAAAACCCTAAAAAACCATAAATAAACCGTAGAAACACTAAATAAACCCTGAAAACACTTAAAACACAAAAAACCCTAAAAACCCTTAAAGAACCCTAAAAACCCTAAAAACACCCCTAATAACCTTAAAAACTCATAATAAAACCCTAAACAACCGTAAAAACTATAAAAAAAACCCTAAATAGCCGGAAAAAACCCTAAAAACCATAAAACCTTAAATAACCCTAAGAAATCCTAAAAATCCTAAAAAAAACCCCCCAAAAAACCCTAAAAACATTAAAAAAAAAAGCCTAAAAACCTGAAAAAACCCTAAAATAACCTAAATAACCCTAAAAAAAACCTACACACCCTAAAAACCGTAAAAAACACTGAAAACCACAAAAAAACCCTGAAAAACACTAAAAAGCCTAAAACCCCCAAAAAATATAAAAACCCATAAAAAACCCTTAAAAACCATAAAATATAAAAAAACCATAAAAAATCCTACAAAACCCTAAAAACCCTAAAAAAAACCCCAAAAAACAATAAAAAACCCCTAAAACCCGAAAAAATACAAAAAAATCCTTAAAACCCCCCAAAACCCCAAAAACCCATAAAAACCTTAAATAAACACTAAAAACTCCAAAACCCCCCAAAAAAC